TCAAGGTTTAAAGTGGATATGATATTTGAACCGACATGTTTCTTGATAAATAGGTTTGACGATCGTTTCAATACGATGCCACGCTAAAAAATAAAAACTTAATTTGGCTTTGAAAATTGAAGTTTAAATTAGAAATAATTTAACACAAATAAAATACCTTGAGGGATGAATTTTAGAACTAAACTAGATATGATACATTTCTTAGAAAAGCCGCTTTTGGGTGATCGATATCTTTCCGAAAGAGTAACCAACTCCTTACCTTAAAATATCTACACCGGTGCTATTTTTAGGTTCTTAGTTCCGTCAATATTAGGTGGTGACTCCGAATTCAATAATAACTAGCATTCCCGTAACAAACCATTAATGGAATGCAAATCTCAAATTTTTCGAGAGTCTCATCTAATGTCGGATAGTGACAATAATTAACGTAATTAATCAATTAACTTAAAATAAATCAAATTAATTTAATTAATTCTAATTTTAACAAAATTAAATTTAAAATAACAATTAAATTAACTTAATTAACAAAATTTTTACATTTAATTAACTAATTTATTCTAATTCAATCAATTAAACATAATTAACCTCATTAATTAACTAAATATTAATAAAACAAAATTAATTAATTAAAAATTAATTCCGATTAAATTCAAATTATATTTAATTAATAAATTAACCTAACAATTAACAAAATTCAACAATTCAACAAATTAATCAACAAAATAACCTAACAATTTAACAAATAAATCAATAAACTAACTATTAACTATATACGTAACGATAAATTAAGCAATTATACTTAAAATTAACTTAGCAATTATGACAAATTACTAACATTAATTAAGAAAATAAAAGAGATAAAAAAACTTACATAATTTAGGTGAAATTATCCAAAATGAAGGAAGAAAAAATTAGGTTTTTTTGGGAGAAATGAGTTGAAAGAGGTTATGGATCGATGGAGAGTGGATTAAGAGAGTTTTGCGAATGATTTGAGGGGTCGGGAAGGGCAGCAGCTTGAGGAGAAAGAGAAATCGGGGAAAAATGAGGAGGGAAGGGCTATTGCCCGGATTTAAAGGCCAACAAATCGGTGATGGATACGTTCTCGTCATTATTTAGCGACGTACATTAGTGTTCGTCGCTAAATAAGGACTTTTAGTGAAACCTTCGAATTTTCAAAGGCCGCCCAAAAATTTAATATTTAGCGATGAGAATATTCCCATTGTTAAACAACGACCTATAATTGACGGATTGGCCATCGGTAAAAGTCAAATTCTTTCTAGCAGCGAGATTAATAACGTGTTGCTATTTTCAATAGCTAATCCTTCCCTAATCTGTTGCTAAAAGCTTTGAGTAGTTTTTAGTGCCATATTCGATGATAAAAATTTATCTCGTTGCTAAAAGTTAGTCATAAATTGATCTTTATTTCGTCGCTAAATATAACGCAAGCTAATTTGATGCTATTTAGCAATAGTTTGAAGTCCGTGCTAAAATCCATTGCTATTTAGCGAATTTGTTGTAGTGTTTGAAAGGTATGAAGGAGCTATTAGGTTGTCATTGAGCCGTATTCGGATCGAATCTATTAATTTAGACTAGATCATAATAGATCCGAATCTAATTTATTTAATAAACATATTTAATTAGAACTTATAAATTCTAATCAAAGTTTTTTTTTAATTATAAATCTAGATCTCAATAGATTTAGATCGAATTTGGATATCTATCAAATTTATCATTTATTTTTCTTAAAAAATATGTTTTACATTCAAAATCATGCTTCGATGTAAATGAGTAAACCATTGCATGTATAAGAAACTATATTATAATGATATTTAATATTTCAACTTAAAAAAAAATTCAAATTGTTCCACCATCAGAAAAAAAAAAAACTCAAATAATCCTAAAAAAAAATTTATATTAAAAGTCAAAATTGATATAAATTATATAAGAAGCATGACAAAACTAAAGAAAATTAACAAGCATACCTACTTTATGCACAAGTATATATCATGATAGCGAAAAGCCGACACTTCATTAATTTTTTTTATATGTTTATAGGATTTTTCACAAAATTAATATGGGGCATGAAAAAGCACAAAAAAATAAAATCACGTGATTTTTTTGAAAAAATAGCCATTTATGTTGAGGCAAAAAAAATGAAACAAAAGTAGAGAACGCTATTTAGCATTTAGAATAGATAAACCATTAATCTAGAGTCATTATTTTTTTATCTTTTAAAATATTATTTTTATTAAAATTAATAGTTAATTTCGCATTAGATTATTATTAGATAAAATCGAGGTAGATCCATATTTAATAAATAGATTAACATATTCAGATAATAATTAAACTAAATTATAAAAATTGTATATTAGTTCCATTGAATTACATTAGAGTGGGAACAAGATCCGATTCATACAGCTTTAGAAGCTACCAAAGAAGGTCCAGATGAGTAACAATTCACAAATAAGACCAAATACGGACTAGCTGGATGGATAGAGATTCATAAATGATTCCATAGATCAAACCTGATTTATCACTTTCACATCGTCGTGTCCCATTAAATTAACTTGCCATTAAATATATTACCAATACATTTGTTTTTTCATTTGAGGAATTGGATGCAATACTTAGGATATATTCTGTGAGGAGGTGGTAACTGTATGGGAATTAAAAGAACGTAGGTTCTATAGATATACAGTCAAAGTAAGGATCAGATAAAAAAAGATTAGGATTCTAAGAAAATCTTAGAAAATCAAACGGTTTAAATCGAGCAGGTTAGTTAAGATTTTAAAATAGAAAAATCTAACAAAATTAATATTTTCTGTAAATCTTATGCTTTCAGGTTCAAAGTTAATTGTGTTGTTGATAACACGAATGAAAAAGCAAATTTCCTTATTATCGGAAGAACAACTGAAAAGTTTTTCAAGAGTACTTGCTTCAAGTTGGTTGTGAAAGAAGGTCATAACCCTGGTCGAAAAGCTTGGCAAAGTGAAGATTTTCCAGGTGTATTGTGAAACTTTCGGATCATATAAAAATAGTTGTTGCATGGTGGTACCTAACGTGTTTGAGGACATTCTAATGATTCAGGCCCCTAACAAGTTCCTCGTCGATCAACCACAACCAGCAGCTGCTGGCAGCTTGATCGCTCTACACTGATCAGCAAGATAAACAAAGATGAAATAGCTATAGCTACACTGCTTTATATATATTACAATTTAAATTTTTTATATAAATTAAGAGTTCATGTTCCAAAAAATATTTTTCATTTTCAAGTGACAATCAAGGAAATCTCCACACTCCCACCAAATAAGATGAAATAGAGGACGATGATATTCAATTGTCTCCTTCGATGACCAAACCAGCGAGTGAAAAACCTGAATTGAGTGGGTTTCTTTTAATCCTTTATTTGATGCATGTTTTTCAAGCCATTTTCGTGAAATCATTTCTCATGATTTTTTTTCCTTCTCCGATCCAGAAAATTCTCTTCCAACAGTGCGTGAACTCTTAATGTTCCAGTGACCTTTTCATGCTGGGATTCTAATGATATTCTATTGAATATAAATAAGTGAAATGTATGAGCTTCTTGGAACTGTAATTTAGTTTGTGTTTCTATTAAACTTGCTTTGTTTGCACTGTTAGTGGATTAACTTCTTTTAACAAGACATACAATGTCAAATAACATATTTTCAGCATGCTTTTTGATCTTTCTGTCAAGACATATAGCTTTGCCGAATATGATCAATTTGTCTAATGATTGGCTAACGAGAATATAATTTTGATGGTATATAAAATCTCAATTTTTTAGTGTTGTTCGAAGTTAAAACAGAACTTTTTAGATCCATTTCCTTATTCCATCAACATGGCATTTCATTCCAATTTTTTTGTCAATAATATTTAACAAATTTGATCATATCAAAATAAATAAATTATAAATGAAAACCAAACAATACAAACTATGATCATTTTGAAAATTCAAAAAACTATCAAATCATTATTTTACAACAATAACTTTAATAATATAATTTTTAATTGCCAGTGGTTATGCATATTCTAATAAAATATTTGTTTGTACCAAGTAATATTTAATTAATAATATTATATTGCTCAAGTTTATAGGCTTTTTTTTTACTCACGCTTCAACAATGAGCAACATGTATATTAGTTTTAATTTAATTGTTAGATTTAAAAACAATATTAGAAATGCATGTCTAGGGTCAAGTACAAAAATACATACTTGTTCATTTTGATCCATGCAAATATCAAAACATGCTTATTTTAAAATGTATTTTCCCCTAATCTAAACTGTTTTTGCACCATAAATGGATCGAATCAGCTGCAAGAGTACTTCTTGCATAAATGTAAAGTTAAATGGGGTTATTTCACACTTTCTTAATTATATTAACTTCCTAAGATACTTTACATGCTATCACCATCCTTTCAACACTGTGCCTATACAATAGATTCAATTCCTATGCACTAAAAAGAAAGCATGTATCACACACAATCAAGTTTAGCCTATCAATTGTATATATCCAGTTAGTTTCTCTAATAAAATAAAATTCAAATCCTAATGATTTCTATCAATTGTATATATCCAGTTAGTTTCTCTGATAAAATAAAATTCAAATCCTAATGATTTTAAGGTTTTTTTTTTTTTTTTTTTTTTTTTTTATGATTATATAATAGGAGAGGACTATCCCATTAAGTAGCCCAAAAAACCCATAGAACTCCAATGAATTAAAAGAAAAAAGAGAGAGCATGTAGCGTTGTGCCATATTCGATGTGTTAATTAAGTTTATGCCGGTTGGCTCTTAGAGTCCTTGAATAGCATAATCTCAAATGAACCTACAATTATCGAAGTTTTCAGTACTTTTAGTCAGGGAGGAACAAGAAAACAATTGGAAATTAATGAACTTATTTATTGTCCTAAAAAAGGGAGCAAGATCAAAGGATGATGATGATAATAATAATATAACAAGATGAACTTGAAACAACACATTTTATTCTAGTGTCTCTTCCTCTGATTTATCTTGAATTTCCTGGCTTGATCTCTTGTTAGCATCAGAATCCTTATAGTACCTCTTCCAGAACCAATGCTTCTTCCATACCCTTTCATTCATTTCGTCAATTGGGACACCCTTTGTCTCAGGCAGAAAGAAAATAGCAAAAAGACCCATCACAAGAATCCAGGCAGCAAAGAAGAAGAAAATTCCAGAGCGCATGTGGCATAACACTGTGAGGAATGCTTGGGCAACTAGGAAGGTACAAAACATGTTCATGCTAACAGCAAAGAAGAAACCAGCACTTCTTGTTTCCAGAGGGAAGATTTCACTGGGAATCAACCAGCCTAAAGGACCCCATGACCATGCGAAACCAGACACAAATACACAGATCAAGATGACCACAAGCTTAGCAGAACCGTTTGGCATGATATTGGTAGATTTCAAATGCACAGCAAGAATCCTTCCCATTATGGACTATATACAAAAGAAGAGAAAAGGAACAATAACGAGAGTCAGAAATAACTTAAACAATATAGATAAAGCTCAGAAATGTGAAATATCTGGTTTTGCTTACCTGGGCAGCAAGCATCTGAAGGCAAGCTTCTATGAGCAATATCCTTCTTCCAATTATATCAACAAGAAATACTGCAACCAATGTGCATGCTACATTGATCGAGTCAGTGACTACAGCTGATAATAGTGACCCATCACTGCCATAACCCATAGTCTGAAACAGTACTGGAGCATAAAACATGACAACATTGATGCCAGTGAACTGCTGGAAGAATTGAAGAATTGTGCCACAAATAAGTTGAGGCCTATTAGAGCGACTCATGAGGTTCCTGAAGGGGTGTTTGACTTGTTTGGCCAATTCAATAGCATTCAAAATCTCTGCATATTCTTTATCTACATTGTCAACACCTCTAATCTTCTTCAGAACACGTAGACCTTCTTCATTCTTTCCCCGCTCTAAAAGGCTTGTGGGGGTCTCCGTGATTAGAAGAGACCCACCGAGGAGAATTATAGCAGGAGCTGCAGCTCCACCTAGTGAAACTCTCCAGCCATGAGGATGCACTTTTGAAGTAGCATAATTGATCAGATTTGCTATCAGAATGCCCACTGTGATTAGCAGCTGAAAACAAATGTTAAGGCCTCCTCTATATTTTGCAGGTGCGATTTCTGATATGAACAAAGGCACCGCCTGCATTCACATTCCTTGTACATATAAGAACTTGAAAAGGCAGAAAATGCTACTTTACTGGTTTTATGGATTGAACTACATATATATACCTGGTTACCAAATCCAACTCCAGCACCTAGACAAATCCTTCCAGCAATTAGCATGCCAAGGTCCTGCGCAAAAGCATTTAAAATGGCTCCAGCAAGAAAGAAGATAGACGCAGCTTGAATAGTGGGTTTTCGGCCGAATTTTTTGCAAAATAAAGAGGCTATAAAACTAGAAACAATAGCTGCTAGGTAGAGAGAAGAGGTAAAGAGTTGAAGAAATTGGTTATCATATTTGCAATAGTTATCTTCTCTCGCCTCATGCTTCTTGTGATATACAGTTGGAAAGAATTTCTCCAAGAAATCATCCATTGACGTCACTCCTCCTACAAAAACATATATAACGAATAAAATAAAATCTAATGTTACAGATTTTGATGCTTAATTGCCAAAGATAACGAAACAGAGAAAATGGGGCGTACCGGAAATGCCAATATCATAGCCAAACATGAGGCCACCAAAGGATGCAATGATGCTACAAACGAAGACCTGCAATGTAAGCTTGGCAGGGAAGTCTCGGCTACCACCGGATTCAGCCATAGATAAGCCAGCCATGGTTGTGAGTTTAGTAAGTCACTGTATTTATGAGTTTTACAGCTAGAGTTCCAGTTACGACTTATAAGGTTGGATTGTATGAATTAAAAACAAATGCCCCCAATTCTTCTGCATGGATGTTATGTTTAAAGTTATGTTTGAGAAGGAATTTTAAACTGATTCCTAAAATCTCTCGCTCAAGTTCCAAATATCTGGATCTCAATTATCTTTTATGGATTTTTTTTTGAGAAAAAAATCTGGGTGTCAGTTATTTTTGAACTAGTTGATTCTTATCATCTCAGCATCCATTATAGGAAAAAAAAAAAAAATCCGAGTAGTAATTTTAAACTGATTCCTCTCAATTATCCTTTATGAATTTTTTTTTAGAAACCGTAACTTTGACCGGATAATAATTGAATGGACACATTATTATCTCTGATTTTGTTTGTGACAACAGTTTTAGTTTAAAAAAAAAAAATCGGAGGTTGATGTACTTAACTATTTGACAGTTGACATTGTTGTCCTGACTAACAAAGATTCAAAAAGGAGGCCAGAAAAAATGTTCATAAAAAAAATTTGCTTTTTATTTGCTTTATTTTTCATATTTTGTTTATTTATGCCTTTATGGTTTTTTCTAGAAAATTGCTAAAACCTGCAAATAGATTTTAGATAGGAGTTCCTTTCATATATATATATATATGAAAATTGAGATTAGTTTCAATTAACAAAAAGACTAGTCGGTAAGATTATAGAATGAGATGTATAAAGTAAGTATAATAGAATCTATATAAAGAAAATAAAAATTATCCATACAATTTGTTAATAATCTTTATTGTCATAGTTCTTTTTTGACCGACCCCTCAATATTTTTGTTTTTATATAAAATTCAAAAAGTTAAAAAAAAATATTGCATGTTGCATAATTAATTAATTTTTCTATGATTTTTAGATATTTTTATAAATTTTTTAGATTTTAATTTTTTAAAAATTATCCCAACTTTTTGTTTTTAAGACATTTACACATGCGACCATGATTTATGTTTGCAATGCTTGAGTCCTTGGTGATTATTAGCTTGCGTCTTTTTCCTGCTAAAACAAAATCAGAACAACGTTAAAGAGAGGCCGGTCTAGGTTTTTTCTTTCTACTATAAACAAGGTTTATTCGTGGGATTGGGTTAGGGGCAAATTCAGCACACAGAGGAACAGGAATTGAGGGCCCAAAACATTCCTCCTTATGGTGCTCCAAACTGTGTCATGACTATCAATAGTGTCAACGATCCGAAACTGACCATATTTGTCCAAGCTATTTGCAGGCTGAGTCTGATCAGATTTGTGGACTTGCTGCTGCTGTATATTTGATTCTGATGCTGTATGGATTAAGTCCAAAACAGGCCCTAAGTTATCCCTATCGTATAGGCTTAGGCTGTCAATAATGTCTACACTAGTATCTGCACGAATCACGGCCATGAGCAGCATTGATGTAGCAGCCAGTGGCTTTATCATGTCCTTTAAAAACTCGAACAGCCACTCAAAATTATCATCACCAATACAACCTTCTAACTTCATTAAAAAAAAAAAATTTGGGATCTTTACCAATTTATCAAGTAGCTAATCAAATCAAAACAAAATCAATACAAAACTTGACTAATCAACATTAACAGCAGCTATATAATGGCAAAACATGAGCACAAAGTTTTAAAATTAAGCAATTAAATGAGCATCATTCAAAAAAACACAAAATGAGTTTCCTTATATGAAGTATACCTAATCAAATCCACAGAACCAAACAAAAGAAGAGAAGAAATCTTAACATTTCCAGGCAATCTCAATTGAAAATGAGTTGTTCAAACAAATAAGCCTAGTTGAATATACAAATAGATAGACTATCATCTCAGGATCCTATTCTTCTCAGGCAGGGGAGAGAAGTAGTAGCAGACTCGGATCCTATTCTTCTCCTAAGAGAGGCAGGGGAGACAAGTTGTAGCAGACCCGGAAGCGCAACAAGAAATCTTCAAATAAGCATTATCAGAGTACTAAGCAGTGTGCAGATCCTATTCTTCTCAGGATCCTATTTTTCTAGTTTTTCAGCAGAAGGAACAATAGAGGTAAAGGAAGCCAAAAACAAGCAATTAACATAAGATAAATTAAGCACTGTCAAAGCAGACAGATCATTAGATTAGCAGACGATAAAAGCAGATGGCAGTAACATCAATTCTACCTCATCTGACTACATTATTCTAAGTCTAAATTAATCAATTAAAGTATTAATTAAAAGTCAATTATACCTAAAACCTAATTTATTCTCAATTTGGATCGATTGTGGGCCTAAGATATTTAGATACAATTCTTCAATTTTTGTGAAAATTTTCACTTTCATTAATCAATTCACACTTAACTAACTTCTCATTAGCCAATAATTCATTAACTAAGCAAAAGAAATCAAACCTAATTTTACCAACTTTGGGCCGAATGGGTTCATAATTAAGAGATTAAGTTAAAATTTATCATTTTCACTTAAATTGCATAAAATTTTATATATTTTAAAGATAAAAAGTTTTTTTTTTAAATTAAATTATCCTAATTAATTTAATAATAAATTCAACTAAATTTAATTTAATCAATCCTAAATAAAATATTTATTAAATTCTATTAATTAATAAAATGTTTATTAAATTTTAACGTTTATGTTTATTTTTCAATTACATTACAAATTAACAAAATTTAACTAAAGTACGTAAAAAAATTATATAATTTAAAAATTAAGTTAAAACAAAAAACTAACCAAATTCACCTAATAATTAACACAAAAAATTAATTAAGTAATTACCAAATTTAAATTAAGAATTAAATAAATTAACAATAATTCAACCTTAACTAAATTACTTAAAAAATTACATTAATAAAATTAAACCTAAAAAATTAACATAATGAATTTTTTTTTAGTTTTGCATTAATGTAAAAATTAACTTAAAAATTAACCTAACTAAACAATAACACATAACAAAATTGATCTAACAGCTTAAGAAAATTAAATAAACAATTAAGCAATTTACACTAATAATTAACATACAACTTAACATAGTTAAAAATTAACATAAAAAAAATTAATAACATTCAAATAATCGATCAACTAAAAAATAACAAAATTTATTTAAAAATTTATAATATTTATTTAATTTTTTTTAAAAAAACCATAAGAATTAGAGAGAGAAAGTTTTATCCGAGAGATCAAGGAGAGAGAGCATAGATCCGGTCCGATTTTGAAGGAGAAAGATGCACCTCACTTTGTTAAATGATTTGGAGAGTTACTTGGTAGCGTGAGGCGGCATGGGTGGTGATTTTGTAGCCAGCGGTGCAATTTTTGATGGAGAAGAGAGGAAGCTGAATGGGAGAAGAAAAAGGGGGTGGGGAGATTTAAAGGTAAATTAGTGACGAATATACCCATCCGTCGCTAAAATGGGGGAATTTTCCCTCCAAATTAGCGACGGATTCATAAATCCGTCGCTAATTGGCCTTTTCGGGGGAAAATTCCCACCCAAAGACTAAACGCTAATTCTGTCACCAGTTTTTATTTAACGACGGATAGCGACGAATCTTTTTTTGTCACTAAATTAGTGACAAAAATCTGTTGTTATTCCGTCGTTGAACTTGGCGCCTTAGTTTGTGACAGAATTTATTCCGTCGCCGAGGTTCATTCGTTAGTTTGTCGCTAATCGGTCGCAATTTTCAACTTTTCTTGTTGGTCACTAATACATCGTTAATATGTCGGTAATTATATCCGTCACTAAAATTCGTAGCTAATTTTCAATTTTCTTGTAGTGCAAGTTTCAAAAATCTGGGTCTCGGTTATTTTTGAACGATTTGATTCTTATCATCTCTGCATGCATTATAGGAAAAAGAAATCTGAGTAGGAATTTTAAATTGATTCCTAAAATCTCTCGCTCAAGTTTCAAACATATGGGTCTCAATTATCCTTTGTGGATTTTTTTTGAGAAACCGTAACTTTGACTGGATACATTATTATCTCTGATTTTGTTTGTGCAACAATTTTAGTCTAAAAAACATTGGAGGTTAATGTACTTAACTATTTGACTGTTGACATTGGTCTGGCTAACGAAGATTCAAAAAAGAGGCCATAAAAAATTATTGATAAAAAAATTTGCTTTTGATTTGCTTTATTTCCCATATTTTGTTTATTTATGCCTTTACGGTTTTTTCCAGAAAATTTCTGAAAACTTGGAGATAGATTTCAGATAGGAGTTCCTTTCACACACACATATATTAATGAAAATTGAGATTAGTTTAAATTAATAAAAAGACTAGCTGGTAAGATTATAAAATGAGATGTATAAGTAAGTATGATAGAATCTATATAAAGAAAATAAAAATTATCCATATAATTTGTTTATTGTTATGAAATAACGAATGTCTATTTCATATTCTTTACTATTCGTATGATTCAATTCATCATTAAATATGAAAAGGTTGGTGCAATTTATTCAATTATTTATGCATCTTTTAATGGTCCATAATCCTTTCAAATTCTCTTCTTAATCTTGAAGCCTATAAATAAGCTTGATTATTCATTAATTTATGTTTAAGCATTTTGTAAAGGTTGAGAGAATTGGTTAGGGTTATCTCATGCATTCACTTTATCTTATAGTGAATTCATTTTTCTATTGGTCTTTTTCTTCAATTCTCTTATTATTTCTATTTCTTTCATAACATTCATAATCTTTATTGTCATAGTCCTTTTTTGACCCCTCATTATTTTTATTTTTAATACAAAATTCAAAAAATAAAAAAAATTACATGTTGCATAGTTAATTAATTTTTCTATCATTTTTAGATATTTTTATAAATTTTTAAGATTTTATTTTTTTAAAATTATCCCAACTTATAGTTTTTAAGACGTTTACACATGCGACGATGATTTGTGTTTGCAATGCTTGAGTCCTTAGAGTCATTATTAATTTCTCCATCACTCTTCCCTAGGCTTCAATTGGGGTTTAGAACTTTTAGCTTGCGTCTTTTTCCTGCTAAAATAAAACCAGAACAACGAAAAAGAGAGGCCTGTCCAGGTTTTTTCTTTCTACTATAAACAAGGTTTATTTGCGGGCTTGGGTTTGGGTTAAGGGCAAATTCAGCACACAGAGGAACTGGAAATGAGGGCCCAAAACATTCCTCCTTGTGATGCTCCAAACTGTGTCATGATTATCAATAGTGTCAACGATCCGAAACTGACCATATTTGCCCAAGCTATTTGCAGGCTGAGTCTGATCAAATTTGTGGACTTGCTGCTGCTGTATATTTGATTCTGATGCTGTATGGATTAAGTCCAAAATAGGCCCTAAGTTATCCCTATCATATAGGCTTAGGCTGTCAATAATGTCTACGCTAGTATCTGCACGAAATTGTCCTGAATTATGAGGCTGCTGCAGCATATTTAAGTAGGAAACTGCTAGGGTTTTATGGCATTGAATATGCATAAAAACATCTGGAAACAAGAGGTTGTCACAAGGGGATTTGAATTAGGGAGAATGATCATATTCTGCATTAGCTTTCTGTGCTCCTAGAAATAATTAGAGCAATATCAACCAGTGAAGGTTCCACCTCAGAGCTCTGTTAAAAACCACCTCATCATCCATCTCATCATGTTCAAACCTGACACTCTTCTTCTGCAGAAACAGACTCCAGTTCCCTATCTCCATCATATTGCATATTGGGTTTGTTCATAGAAAACTCAATCCTTGAAAATTCTGAGTATAACACTGAATCAAATTCATTGATTTGTATATTGAATTCCACACCTTCTACCTTCAAAACAACTTGTTCATCCAAACAATCTCTCAAGCCAGGCTTAACTTAACAAAATCATTCACTCTTCCATAGAGGGTTGATGGATTAGCAATGCAGTTGAGTGTTCTTACTATTAACGATAAGCCATGGATTTCTAACCAACAAAATCTATCATGAGCACCGTCTGACATAACCCAAGGACGAGCCTCATTAAAGAACAGGTTCAAAACAGTATCACACTCCTCTAGGGCATGGTACATATTTGTCACATCGGAAAAAGGGGATCACAACTTGTGAAGCACTTAAGAATCTAAAACCTTCAAGCCAATATCACAGTCTCTCAAATCTTCTTTGAGAGAGCCATAATCCATACCATCAGAAATAATGCAAATCAAACTTTTTTTTAGCCAATCAGCATCCTCTTCCGTACTGGTATAAGAAAACGATGATTTCCTTTACTTACAGGTTGGGTTTTCTGAACATAGCTTTTCTTTTTTAGGCTGCATCCTCACAGCTTCTGGATTCTTTTGAGTCAAAGGATTCACAACCTATGCATAAGACTTGTCATCTCGCAATTTCAGGTTCGTATGTGAGACCTTTCTCTGTTGTTGTTCAACTCGTTTTTTTAATCGGAGAAACTATTGAACTCACACGCAGCTTATATGTTCTGATCCATATGTCATTGAGACGAATAAGCAATGATTCTAAACCAGAGCTGGATCTCAAATTAATAAAACTGAAACCCCTTCCTAACTTGGTCTTTTTATAGATGAACAGATGTAAAATGTCTGCTAACTTGACAATTTTTTTTCATACCCATGAAATTAATCCAATCAGAGAATCTCTCAAATTAATAAAACTTCCCCATTCAATATGTATCTTTTTCGGTATATTAAGAACTATGAGTAAAGAGATGAATCATCCATCTAGTTGCAATGCAAGAGTTTTTTTTTTTTTACAAAAAAAACAAATAATGCATCTTCCTCAACAAAATTATTTCAATTACAAGGATATAAAAAAGAAACTAAAGAGCTTGGAGTTCAGCGGTAATGATCTCTTGCAACAAGAAGTTACATTTCAAATCTCTAGTTCTGTCAAGGACCTTGAATGTATGAGTTAAAAAAAAAAAAAAACCATTAGAAGCTCAAGCTGCCACCCATAATCAACTGATCATCTCGAATTTAATATTTGCTATTAATGCCAATCAAAACATGAAAAATAAATACTAAGAAAAGTCCTTTGTTGAAAAGAAACAATAAGAGATTCTATCCAATTGTGTTTTCCTTGGGTTTATCTTGGATTTCCAGCCCTCCTTTACCAGTACCATGATCCTTGTAGTACCTCTTCCAGAACCAGTGCTGCTTCCAGACTCTTTCCACCATTTCATCAATTGGGATTCCTTTCGTTTCAGGTAGAAAGTATTTGGCAAAAAGGCACATTAAAACTAGCATAGCACAGTAGAAGAAGAAAGTCCCGGCTCGCATGTGGCACAACATGGTGAGGAATGTTTGAGCAACAAGAAATGTAAAAATAAAATTCATACTAACGGCGACGGAGAAGCCAGCACTTCGAGTCTCTATTGGGAATATTTCACTTGGAATTAGCCATCCCAAGGGACCCCATGACCAAGCAAAACCAGCCAAGAACACGCAGACCAAGATGATCACAAGTATGGCATCATGTTTCGACACAACGTTTGTGGAGTGCAAATGCATTGCAAGGATCACTCCAATTGCACCCTACAAGGAACAAAAAATGAACGGATTTAGCAGCGCTAAAACAGAGATCAGTAGTGAAAATTGAAATCATAGACATTTTTTTTGGCTCACCAGAGAAATGAACATCTGAATGGCTGCTTCAATGAGCAACGCTCTTCTACCAAATTTATCAACCACAAAAATTGCAAACACAGTGCCTATTGGTTTAACTGTATTAGTCATTATAGCTGACATCAATGACGCATTCTCACCTAACCCCATGGTCTGAAAGAGAACTGGGGCATAAAGCATGACCACACTGATGCCTGTGAACTGCTGGAAGATTTGAATAAGTGCACCACATACTAGTTGAGGTCGACTTGACTGTTTCCTAAGGTTCTTGAAGGGATGCTTAATTTGCTTACTAAATTCAACAGCTTGAAAAATTTCTTCATATTCTTTATCAACATTATCAACACCTCTAAGTTTCTTCAAATAATACAAGCCTTCTTCATTCTTCCCTTGTTCTATAAGGCTCGTTGGTGTCTCCACGATCGTAATAGAGCCAAGGAGGAGAAGTAAAGCAGGAAATGCTGCTATACCCAGTGAAATTCTCCAACCGTACGGGTGTAATTTTGAAGTGACATAGTTAGTCACGTTAGCAAATAGAATGCCTATTGTGATAAGGAGCTGAAAACAAAGATTAAAGCCTCCTCTGTACTCGGCAGGTGCAATTTCTGATATGAATAATGGCACTGCCTGCATTGGAATTTCTCTTGTAAGTTCTTGGGAAGCAGCGAATATGCTGAAGGTAATAACATAAAGGTTGAGCAAAAGAATGTGTTGTGCTTAAATACAAACAAGAAAGCAAAAGAGATCCCACAAATCATATCAATATATTATGGTATAATATGTTAGTCCACTACAATAAACAAACAAGAATAAATAACTAAGTTGAGTTGTTTGTGCTTTAAAGCTGCTTCATATTCTAAAAACATGAACATATAAAGCTGCTTCTTAAATAATTAGTATTCAGTACTGCTCTACATATGTTTGAATTTCATCACCTGATTTCCAAAACCAATTCCAGCGCCCAGACAAAGTCTTCCAGCTATCAACATGCCAATGTTGAGAGCAGCAGCATTCAAAATGGCTCCAACTAGAAAGAAGACAGAGGCAATCTGCATTGTGGGCTTGCGGCCCCATTTTTTGCAAGAAATTGAGCCGATAACGCAACCTACGATGGCTGCAAGGTAGAGGGAAGAAGTAAAGAGCTGGAGAAGTTGACTATTAAATTTGCAGTAGTTGTTTGATTTAGCTTGATGCTTCTTGACATAAACTTCAGGGAAGAACTTGTCCAAAAACATATCCATTCCTGTAACTCCTCCTACAACCATAAAAAAAACCACAAGTACGAGAAAAAAGAAATAACATAAGATTATCTTTGTGCTTTGTCAGGCAATAGCCAAAAAAAAAAACAAAAAAACAAAAAAACAAAAAAACAAAATTAGCACGCTCGGTCACCGGGTCTAGTTTAGGTATATACCCGAAATTCCAATATCGTACCCAAACATGAAACCACCACAGGCTGCAGTGACGGTACAGACAATGACCTGCCGTGTAAGCTTAGCAGGGAAGTCCTGACGGATCCCAGATTCATGGACTAGGGTTAATTCAGGCATGTTTGCACCCCAATCTGATGATATCTCTGAATAAAAGAGTTGTCACTTAAATAACAAATATCAGGTTAGGTCACTTTGCTACAGGGATGAATTGCAAAAGCTGTGACAATATATGCTAGTCATCTTTAGAGCTTGAAGTTCAGAAAAAGTTTGTTACCTAGGAATTTGATGCCGAATCCTACTATTTAGCCAGGTGGCAGAATTTAAGGATCGAAGTTTATATATAGAAGATAAATAATGGTCCTTATCGTATCAAACTCTTCTAATTAGTATCAGAATTTGAGTAACAGATTCCTAAGATCATGCTTTTGGATAACTTTTTTCTTCGTTTGAGATTGCTTTTTGGATTATCTATTTATCTCTTTTGGAAAACTTTTTTCTTTTTTGAGATTTTCTCTTTTGGATAGCTTTTCTGGATTATCTATTTATCTTATATGATTATTATGTCGTCAAATCAGCAAGAAAACCATCTAATTAAGTTAACAATATTTATACTGTCCGAGTGTTATTCAACAGTACGAGTTTAACCATAAAAAAGGAAACAGAAATTAAAGATGAGTGCATTAATTGCTCAAATTAATATGGCCACATGTGAACTCTTGCGACTCAGACAAGCATAAATATTGTAACTCACACACAACAGACAGAAACAGAGTGATAGTCTGACAGATGATAGGTATCGCTTCCTTTTATATTGGCTTTGCCTCTTGTTTGGTAGAAAATCGGTGATGGAGATTGTCAGGCACTGTTATTGTCTCTCGTGCTTTGGATTTTTTGGTTTTTTCTACGAACACTTAGATATGATAAAGTGCAAAATCTTTGTCAATTTCCTTGGAACTTTTTCGAGTGATGTAAAATCCTTCACTACTGATGATGCCTCTGCCACTTGTTTATATTGTGTAAAAAAATCTTTCTTGGCTTATTACAAAGAAAATGATCAATTTCCTCTCAAGGATAGCTTTAATGTAGTTAAGAAATATTTCCGTTCTTGTGCAAATAAGCAGTTACGCTGTTGGCTGGTGGTTTGTAATGTAAAGCACATCCTATTTAATACTTCATGTAGATGAAATTTATTACTTAATTCATCTAGGTCTAGTATCAGGGGGTCGACATAAAATTCCAGTTACTGCTTCAATTAATTCATAAATTTTGCAGGATAAAATCTCTGCTGTACCTGAAGAAAATAGGTACAGGAAGAAATGGTTCAAAAAAGCCCTCTTCAATCTTTCCAACACTCGGAAACTAGTGTTTTAGCAACAAAACTTTCTATTTACTTTACAAAGAGAAACAAAGGAAAATGAGAGAAACTAACATTTTAACCTTGTCGGTTGTTGTCAGCTTGACTCAACAACTAATGGCATTTTAACTTCTCCATTGTAGATTTGTACAGGAAAAAAAAAAAAAGAAGCATAACCTGCTTCTGAAGAGTTGTTAATATTTGCCATTATATACTACCTCAAGCGGACTCCTCATTGACTCAACTTGCATCTGATTTTGTAATCTTAATTTCAGAGTTCATTGTGTTTCGATGATTGGTGAATCTGTCCATCATTGTCTTCAGATTTGCCTTTGTTATCTTCAAGGTCCCTTACGATATCATTACCCGTGCTTGGCTTAGATATGTCCATCACATTCTCGTGAACAATAGACTTTCTGGTTTCCTCAGTGTTATCTCTGTCATTTGAACTATCGATTTCACTCGCTAGCTGTAGTGGGGTGACATTAACTTCATCTTCAGCCAAATCTTTTGATTCACCTTCAATGTCTCTGATGGATTCTGAATTTGTAACCTCCACTGCTTTAAGTGTTTCCATAATATTTTCTTGTCTATCTAATCTTTGAGATTCATCTTTACTGTCTTGTACATGATCGAACTTCTCATTGCTGATAAATTCACTCGCCACTGGTTCGTTCACATTATGAATAATGACAGCTGCAGAATCCTGCAAATGAGTATATAGTCCTGGTCAATGTCAAGAGCTTGAAAGGAGTTACTAGAATTCAATTGTTGTGAAAACAGTAGAGAACAACTTGTTTTCCAATTGAGAGGAAAATAAGGATATACCAAAATTCATGCTCTATTTATTTTCAAGAATGAGAGGAAAAGGAAAAGAAATTCAAATGTTTACAACTGGAGGTCCATTTCACGGCAGCTTCAGAAGTAAAGTTTTTTTCCCTTCTTTAAGCCCTCATTTTAGCAGTAGAATGGGTTATAAGGGAAACCACTGCTTAAAAGCAACATGTTACCTTTGCTTCAAGAGCCACTAAGGTATTTTCACCATCAACTGCTGGTTTTGATGTGTTGAGGACAGCCTTTTGATTTGTTAAATCTTTAGGATCACCTCGGACGTCCTTTGTGGTTTCTGAGGTGCCAATGGCCTCTGCTGGCTTTAACAAGTCTTCGATTTCCTGGTCTGCTATTCGTGTTCCGGACTCATTAGCTTCCTTTCTGGTGTTTGAATTATCAGCATCCTCGATTGCTTGAGATGATACGACAACTGTTTCAGTTTTAGTTAGAACTCCAGGACTGCAGTCATGACCCTCTAAGGAAGTAACGCTGGCTGGTTTTAGTGGTTCCACAAATATCTCCTGTCCAGTTGAAAATTGAGGTTCACCTTCAATGCCTTCAAAAGACCTTAAATTCTCCACATTTTCCTTCTTATTTATTGATGGATCGCTAAAATGGCTGACGAGGATAACTTCTTCAGCAATATCTCTTGGAAGATTTGTTGACTCCTATTCAATGTCACATAGGTAAGTTTCATGTTATTTTTACTAGCTAAAAGTGTGTATAAATATTTCTTTGGTGCAGAAGTTACAACGAAGACAAAATAATAGTAGTAGAAATGATCCATAATGTCAAGATGGCATAAGTGCAATGATAAATGGAACAATGCAGGGAATTTAATACTATTTCACATGTTACTACCTCTTCTTCCTTAAGTCCAGGAACTTTTGGACTAGAATGCTCCCCCTTAGATTTTGATATGTCAATGCTTGCTTCAGAGTCAGCAAGTCTTGCAGATTCACCTTCAAGTTGCTCAACAGATCTGGGGTTAATTTCCTCTAGTTGTTTTGACAGTTCTATTGAAGCCTCATTATTGAACGATGTTTCTGATATGTCACCTATGTTTTGCCTAGATCTTAAATTCTCCTTAGTTTCTTCATCATCAAGCAATGATCTCTTATTATTCTCCACTTCAGTAGCTTCTTCAGTAGGCTTCCCTTGAGTGTCAGATGGTTCCTGCTCAATACATGGAGCTTCTAGTTCAGACATCTTATTAAAATGGGCTTTTGTGGCTCTATACTAATGCCGAACAACTGCTTTATACATGCATTAGAGTAAGATAGAACGTGACATTTGAATTTACAAGGATTTAATCACAGTTGCAACTAGTAGAAAATGATATATGAAAAAGAAATTTATGCTGACACAATTTTACTAGATTCCCTTCTCAAATATCAAGCCTATTCTTTCCGCTACTGAAGGAGCACTGACCTCAGATTTTTCAGATTTGCTATCAACAGATGGGTGATCTATTGAATCATTTACCAATTGACTGGTATCTTGAGTTGCAGTCAGAGGTAAATTTTCCTCCATATCAGTGGACACAAGTTGACTGAAATCCGATGAAGAACCTATATCTGCTGGGATCCTGTATGCTAAAACAGACTTTGGAGATGAGGATAAACTTGAATTGGTAGAAACTTGTTCAACTATCGATTCTGGCAGTATGGTTGATGTAGTGGGGTCATTAACCCTTTGGCTTACCCCAGAAACTCCAAAATCTATTGTACTTTGATCTTCTTTATTGCATTGAGTTGATGTTGGGTTGTCTTCACCATCGGCTGGCTTTAAAATGCTCTGAATGCCTGAATGTTCAGTCAGCCTTTCAGAATCTCGGTCAATAGATTCGAAGTCTTCTGCAGGATCCTTAATGTTAACTAGTGGGTCATTCACATTGTAAGTGATTTTGGCCTGCTCTCCTGACTTCTCAGGAGAATTCAGTGATTTTTTCTCTATATACTTGCTAGATTCTGAATTACTTTCCACGGCTGGTTGTGATAGATCATCTATAACTATTTGCTTGCCTTTTTCAGCTCCACTATCTCTGTCTTCATTTGATTTCAAGTCTTCTAAGTGATCAATTATGAGGAACCTTGAATCATTTACATTGCACGTGTCATCCACGCCCTCTATAGACTTCTCGAGATTAATCAATGATTCACTTATGATATTGCTGTTAGATTTTGAATTGCTTCCCTCAGCTGGTTCTGATAGATTGCTTATAACTTCTTGCCTCATGGAGTTTTCAGCTCCAACAGATCTGTTTTCACCTGATTTCAAACCTTCCCTATCATGGTATGTGACTATATCATCTGCATCGCAGTTCGCATTCATCTCTTCAGCAGAATTCCCAGAAGCATTCAATGATTCCTGTTTTATTCACAAAGTTGCAAACATGGGTCCAACAACCTTTTTAAAATTATTTTCTTAATTTATAGAAAGATGAATTAGCATATAAAAGTTATTATGTTCTAATATTCCGAAAGAGAGTTAAAGCATGATTCACTAAACCTGTAAATTGGATAGACAGTGAGCATAACAATAAATATTTACCAGAGTATTAGTTGTAGATTTGTTTCTTCTCTAAAAGCTCTAAGAAATTGTGATTTGATCCAAGTTCATTCACAAATAATAATAATCTATCATAGCGATTAAAGTTATCAATTGACCTGCGGCTTCTGAAAGGACCCTTCAGAAGGTTTGTGTGCCATTGAATCCTCCATCGGTCGTATTCTTTCCAGGGAATGTTCAGGTGGAAATACATCTAAAGAATTAGAAGGCCCCTGCTCCCTTTCTTCTCCCACTAAGAGTTTGACATAATTAGAGTTTTTTGGATCAAAGTTCATTGAATGGGCTTGATCCTCGTGAGATATTTCAGCTCTTGAGGATGATAACGACCACATTGATGGTGCAATTGGATCCTCAGGTTCGTTTCTGACCCTTGAAAACCCTTCCTCTGTAGCATCCTTCCCCTCTACCTCGTATAGTGGTCTAGGTGAATTTTCATGTTCTTGAACTTTTGGAGCAAGAGGTGAAGCTCCCCACAGTTCTTCACTCCCAGAAGTAATTTCGTTCTCACTATCCCCATCGTAAATCAAGGACTCGCTGTCATTGGATGAAGCAGTTCCATCTGCTGTAAGAGGGGGTGAACCAATTTCTGAGACCTCCACTTGCATGTCAGAAGCTATGGAATTGGTAGGGGTATGCCAAGGATCCTTCTGCTTGTAAAAAAAATGTTCCTCCATTCTTGTGTTGTCAATTACAGATGGGCTGGAATCATATGAAGGTTCAGCTGCAGCTCTAGCCTTAGGAACTGGACAAGGGAGAGGTAGAGAGTTCGGTGCACGATTATGAAACACCTCAGGAAATTTGAACGTTTTTGGCTGTAGACTTTCTGAATTTTCAGCTGTCTTGGCATTGAAAATGTCTTCTGCAGATGAAGATGGGCTTGAGCAAATTTTCTTGTGCTTGATTGCATCTGTGTCCATTTGAATATCACTTCTATCACCTAAACTTGGGTCCTTGTCATGAGATTGCTCCATCTTCTTACCTCTGAGCTCGATCCTACTGGTTCCAACTTCTCTATCCCGTTCCCGTTTGTTAGTTACCTGGTTGGAAGATTGGGCTTCCTCTGTCACAAGATCAGTAGCACTTAAATTACGGCTCAAAGTTTCACCACCTTGGAATAATAAATGATCAACCAGCGGGTCATGATTTGCCTTGTCTGCAAAAAAGTTCGTTGATTCAGCTTGAGTAACTGAAGTTTCTAGTATGTTTTTCTTAGTTGTCAAAGAAAGTAAAACAGAAGTTTGTCTTACCTAATTGCATTTTAGATCTAGAATATCCTGAGGCCCCATATTGATCTTGTGTGTTCTCCAAGGGGAAAGGATTTCCCAAAGAGAAGCTCTCATGCCTGCAGAAGAGCAATTCTTTCAGTTGTTCAGCCATAAATTCTTTCTGGAAACTGTCAGCCATGAGATTAGGTTTTTCTTCGAATGGGTCATACGGAAGGTCAAATGGATTTTGGGTCGGTAACAAAATGGAAGGGGCTGAACCAGGTACTCGATCATCTGGACTCTTAGAAGCATGGAAAGTGTTGCTTCTTGCAACCAAAACAGGAGGCACTGGACCTGGAGCAGCACTACTACTCATTTTGAACGACTTTCTTGCTCTACGTCTTGCGATTAGGCTCTCCAGCCTCTTATTTCTTTCTAGCTCAGAATCCCCAAGATCCATGACATTCTTTTGATCATACTCAGTCCATTCTACAGCCTTTTCACCACCCTTTTCTGATTCTTCTTCTTCATCATCATCTGCTTCGGAGCTTGAGCTCTCTGACCCCACGTCACCACCAACATGAAGTTTTGCTGGCTGTTCATTAGAGCCATTACATGAGACAGTATCAGGATTTGATGCCTCACCAAATTCTGGAATTTTCTCACCGATGGACACATGGTGAGATGAACTTTCTCCACTATTCAAAGCACATCGTTCTGTCTCCTCCATGATTACTTTCGGTTTTTCTTCGACCATGGCAGTTCTGCCAATGAAATCATCATTTGAAGGCGTGGAGGAAACCATGTCTATCTCCTCTTCAACAGCATGTGCATCCGATTCTTCAACGTTCTTGTTAACTTTTCTCTGAAACACTCTTCGAGCTTCAATGGAAGAGTTATCATCTCTATTGGCAGCATCAGCTTCGTCAAACGCAGATTTCGCGTGTTCCTTCCTCTCATCCACCCCATGTTGGATTTTGGTATGTTGCGAATTCAGATAATAATAACGGATAAAAACAGCAGTGCAACCAAGAAATACTGAAGAGTAAATCAAGAAATAGAATACTGAAGGAAGAAACAAGTATAAAACCAGCAAGGATAACGAAACACCTGAAGCAAATGGATATTTTTGTGCAAATGTTGAGCAAGCATTAATGGAAAATTTAAGAACTCCCCACATGAAAGCTTGAAATTTCTTTGAATCAATACCCATTTTTATTCCCCAAAAAAATCTAGAAAGAATCAAAGAGATTGAAACTAAGTACTTGAATTTGTAATTCACAGGCTGCGTTGAACCATTGGCAGTTTCAGAGTTTCAGTAACGGAACTAACATGGGATATACTACTTATTAACAGACCAACATTTCGAGTATGTTCGGACAAGGTTTTCTTATTACATCAACCGGAAGTTTGGAATATCAATGGCTGCGAAACAAAATGAAGGATTCAAGTCAATCTTCTGATCCCAATAAAAATGGGGCTTCACAAATAGAGGTCAGCTGTACTCTAGAATGACAGCGAAGAAAAATATTTTATCTGTTCCATTTTTAGAAATCTTGGTTGGTTGTGAGCTTTGAGAGATCCTTTTATTTAGGACTTTCACTTGTGTTTTTCGCTTCCTCCTGATTCATGGGTTGACAAGCGACCAAAAAGAAAACAGGTATGGGGACTGTTACTGTTGCTATAAGAGATCAGACCTATGAGACCTTATTGTATTTTCATTTCCTAGCAGGCCTTGGCAATCATTTATAATATAAAGATTTGAATTATAATAGTAATAATTCAATTAGATATCAATTAATTTATTTTCAAAGATTTGAGTAATATTTCCGTAGCATTTAAACTGTATGCTTCGGAACATTTATAATATAAAGATCCTTTTTATTTGTTTTGCAAAACGAAGATAAAATCCTTTTTTTTTCTCAACTTCAGACCCAAATTTTTAGTCTAATTTATATACCTTGTTTATGGAGGAATTTCATTCTACTATGGGGATGAGAAACTGACTTTAGGTCCTTTTTTTTTTTTTTTGCTTTTTTCCTTTCCTCTGCAAAGTGCTTAATTTGGACATACTAAGGGTCGGATGTGGACAAAAATGGGGCTTAATTTGAGTCGCTCGGAAGCCACAAATCCAAGCCCAATTATTCCACCGCTGAAAAATCCGAGAGTGCGGCTCTTGTTGCTTAAGCGTGTGGTGTGTCTCTCGCGCCAATCTCCATCACCCGCAAATCGCCGTTTTTCTCACACGTGCCCACTTCACGACCTCAACCACACATGCACATCACTGCACCCAATCTCTCTCCATTCTTCTTTCCAATGCATCTAGAGTCTAGTCTCTACCCAATCATACAAATCTTAGGAATAACTATAAATCAGTTCCCACAATATATACCTATTAACAAATCAGTCTCGAACTTTGAAAATATTTCTAAATTTTCCCCATATTTTCTTTGGTTTTCTTTAGTCCATAACAAGCTTATCTCTCTTCAGTTTTCTTTCCATAAAATTGAATATATTAATGTCATCTTAGGAATAAAATTCTACATTATTCTATTGTAAATTTTTTGATTAATAATATTGTTGTATTACAATTAAACTTTTTGATTAAATATTTTAATTGAAAGAGAAAACTAACTAAATACAGTATGGGTCTAATAATTAAACTAAAAGAATTAAAATGAATAATGAAGAATTTTTATTTTTATTTTTATTTTTATTGTAAGAAATTTATCTTAATAGAATAACTTTATATTGCATTGTTTGCATATATATATATATATATATATATATATATATATATAATTCATCTTTTTTTATATAAAAAAATATTTTATTTAAAGAAAAACTTATATGTACATGTACATTAACGTAGTATATGTATCATGTGAAATAAATTTTTTTATCATATAAAAAAATCAATATAGAAATATGATGAAGTAGATGTGCTTTATTTCTTAAATTAATCAAAAAAAAAAAAGCTTCAATGTGTGCATTTTTTAGTCTTATATTTAAAATATAATATTATTATAATGTTATTACAAGAGTGAAATTTTTAAATTTCAAATTTATCTCGATTTCGGTAATTTTATTGCGATTGAAATTAACATATGGGGATGGATATGTTAAACCAAAGAAAGTTTGTAAGGAAATTAGCAAGATGTTAAAGATTAGGGACTGATCTTCTAGTAAATATATAGCTGGGGCCTGATTGGTAATCTTCCCTATCAGCAACGAAAGCACGAGGGAATTTGTTACTTTATCCAGAAGCGCAATCTAACGGGTAATATTCAACGGTAATTCTCCCCTTCCCTGCAATATCTCCATAGCCAAAAAAATCTCTCCCAGACCAACAAGCACGTCCCCATAAACTAAAGAGGAAATAAACCATAACTAAATTTCATGCATATCTGATTCAATTTTCTTCTTTCTTCTTATTTTCTGTGATGTTAAGTAGGGTTTCAAAAGAAATTGAGTAACAAAGATGCTAGAAACTCTAAGACCGATAACACACACCACTACTGCTCCTCTTCCTGCTAAATTTCATTCAATTCCTTACTGTCGACTCCAATCTAGGGTTTTCTACCACCGTTTAATCCCTCATAATTCCCTCTCTTTTCCTTCAACTAACCCTAAATCCTTCGATTTTTATTCAGGTCTTTTCTCCAATTCCAAAATCAGAGACCATAAAATCTTAGCTAAATGTCAAGATAGTGATTCTACCGAGAAAACAAGCACAGAAACCGAACCACAAAACAATCCTCCGTCAGCATCGTCATCTTCTAATTCAGGGTCTAAGCAGAAGAGAGAGAAGCAAGGGAAAAGCGAATGGTGGTTTTCGAAGAAGCAGAATTGGAAATGGCAACCTTTAATTCAAGCGCAAGAAATTGGTGTCTTGCTTTTGCAATTAGGGATTGTTATGTTCGTTATGAGGTTGCTCCGACCCGGAATTCCTTTGCCCGGGTCGGAGCCAAGGCAACCGACTACTTTTGTCAGTGTTCCGTATAGTGAATTTTTGAGTAAAATTAGTAGTAATCAAGTGCAGAAAGTGGAGGTTGATGGTGTGCATATAATGTTTAAGTTAAAAAATGAGGGAATTAGCAGTCAAGAGAGTGTTAGTAGTGGTAGTAGCGGCAGTGAAGTGGTTAATATTAAGTTTCAAGATTCTGAGTCTTTATTAAGGAGTGTGGCGCCTACTACGAAAAGGATTGTGTATACTACAACGAGGCCTACTGATATCAAGACTCCTTATGAGAAGATGCTGGAGAATCAGGTGGAGTTTGGTTCGCCTGATAAGAGATCCGGTGGATTCTTGAATTCGGCGTTGGTGAGTTTTGATTGGAAGTAGTTATGATTTGATATTCTTTAATTCGGAAGTTAATTAGGAGTAATTGGTGTAAATTTACTGTTTTTTTTTAAGTTTCCTAGTTGAGTATGATGATAACTATTGCAAGTTTATGTGTTGCATTAGTTTAGTTTGAAGTACATTGCCGGAGTAGATTAGTATTAATGTTGAAAATATAGATTACACATCCATTTGTTTGGGATTTGACATTTACAAGCTGATCGAGAGAAACATTTTTGTCCGTTAAATTTCATCGTCAGAGGTTTTGTTTAACTAGGAGATACTGTTATGTGTATGAATTAAATAATTGATTATGGATCCTAGATTGACTCCAACACATTAAATTATACTTTTAACAGAATTCTCATTAGCACTGGTAATTTGAAAACCCTCCTAGGGAATTAGCAGCATTTTTGAGTTAATTGCCTCGTTTTTGGTGCTCTATTAGCATGATCTGTCACACATTTCTTCCTGTGATTTAACATTTTCTCGTATATTGTTCTTGTCTTCTACCCCATTTATGCTGATCATGGGTCACTAGCACCCGTTGACTCAAATGCATGGTGCATGGGATGTTACTTCTCTTTCTTTCTTTCTTTTTTATTCTTTGGATAAAAGTGAGATGTTATTAGAGAAAATGAAGAATAATACAAGGGGATAATATATGGCTTGGGGTAATCACAATAATGAAAATTTAGATATTTGACTATCATAGTCTCACTTAATATTAGCTGAGGAAACTCCCCTGAAAACCCAAAGACCCAGAAAATAAAAAAGAACCTCCTCAACAAAAGCTCAAATTAAAGCAATCAGTGAAAACTCTCTCATTCTTTTTCATCCAAATGTGCGACACAACTATGGACATAGCACATCTCTCTGATATGTGTGTATGCAGTAGTACAGTTATTTGTTATCCTTGCTCTGTATTAGGCAAGCGTTAGGAGGGAAAAATTGGTGCCCCTTGTGCCTTGAAAGTTGGAAAGAAAAGTTATAAATTTTATGCTGTGTTGTTGCAGGAGTTGTTTCACTGTATGGTGCTTAACATTTCTTACTTTCTTCTGTTCCTTTTAGATAGCTTTGTTCTATGTGGCTGTGCTTGCAGGTCTTCTGCACCGTTTCCCTGTTACCTTTTCTCAGGTGCGAACTTTCATCCTGCCTTTTCATTTGTCCTGAACCTAATCCAATGTAGCAATATTTTGAGTGGATGTGTGTAAAGTTGTGCAGCATACAGCTGGTCAGATTAGGAACCGCAAGTCTGGGTCTGGAGGTTCAAAAGTGTCTGACCAAGGTGAAACAATAACTTTCGCTGATGTTGCTGGTGTTGATGAAGCTAAGGAAGAGCTAGAAGAAATTGTGGTATGTTATATTGGATCTATTTGTGACCACAGTGAACTATCATTTCTTGCTTGGTGTTCTAAATCATCCCTACTAACTCAGGAAATGATCTTTATGGGATGATGTTTACTATACAGGAATTTCTCAGGAATCCAGATAGGTACATACGACTTGGTGCTCGTCCTCCTCGAGGTGTTCTCCTGGTGAGTAAAGAAAGACAAACTTGAGATGGAAGTTTATTGCCTGAAAATGTGTTTTGACTGTTGATCCAATCTCCTGCAAAGATCACCCTTGTTAGTCGCACATGTTATCTTTGCTTGCCTGAGTTAAAATAAACTGCCATGCATCACTCCACCTAATCATCTCACTGTCCTCTTCAATGTTCACCCCAACAGACAATCACAAAGATTGCATGAGAAAGTAAACTGTGAACCCAAAAATTGGAAACTTGTTGATTAACATTTTTTCTCTTTCACCAGCTGCTGTATTAGCAGTAAATTTTTTTCCTTAGATATCAATTCTGTATTTTATCACTCCTGCACACTAGGTCTCCCTAATTTTGCTCATTGTTCAGTTCCTCATCCACTACTGGCATGCGTGTGTGTGATCAAATATTGTCTGATGACTGGCCTGATCTAAGAGGATAACTATAAGAGGCTGCAACAATTCACTCTTCAGTTCAAATTTTTCATAAGTTTAGTGAGAATTATTTGTCTATCCTACAGGTGGGCCTTCCAGGGACAGGTAAGACTCTTCTAGCAAAGGCTGTTGCTGGAGAAGCTGAAGTTCCCTTTATAAGTTGTTCTGCAAGTGAATTTGTGGAGTTGTATGTCGGCATGGGTGCCTCCCGTGTGAGAGATCTATTTGCCCGGGCAAAGAAGGAGGCACCATCAATAATATTTATTGATGAGGTAAGATTATGGGAATCCTTATTGTGTTGGGATGCTATATGTTTAGCACCAAGGACTTCTTAATGTGAGCCACATTTTTCCTTATGCAGATAGATGCTGTGGCAAAAAGTCGTGATGGAAAATTCCGCATTGTTAGCAATGATGAAAGGGAGCAGACTTTGAATCAGTTGCTCACTGTATGCTTATCTTTTGAAAGTCATTCCATTTCCGGAACATCCTGGCAATGTCTTTGTTGAAGTTGAAATGTTTTGAAATGCATTGCAGGAGATGGATGGGTTTGATAGCAACTCTGCTGTGATTGTTCTTGGTGCGACAAATCGCTCAGATGTGTTAGACCCTGCACTTCGACGACCAGGAAGATTTGATCGTGTCGTTACGGTATGTACTCTGATCCTTCCATATTGGCTGGACACATGCACACTTTATAGTTCAACTATAACATATGTCTCAGGAATTTGTCTGATTATTTGTCTTTAGGTGGAAACACCTGATAGGAATGGAAGGGAAGCCATTTTAAAAGTACATGTTTCCAAGAAAGAACTGCCTTTAGGAGAAGATGTTGACCTCGGTGACATTGCCTCTATGACTACCGGTTTTACTGGGTATTTACCCCTTGACTAATATTAGATTTTCTGTGTCCTATTTTTGGCTAACTTAGCACATGTGACCTTTTAGTTTTTACATCATGCAGGGCAGATCTTGCAAATCTGGTAAACGAAGCTGCCTTGTTGGCTGGAAGAAAAAGCAAAATAGTAGTGGAGAGATTTGACTTCATTCAGGCAGTGGAGCGGTCAATAGCTGTAACTCTCTCTCTCTCTCTCTCTCTCTCTCTCTCTCTATGTGCTTGTGCGTGCTTGTGTGTCTGTCTGTGTTGTGGGAAGGTGGAGTGCGTACATGAAATGTCTCTTCTGCTTTTGTGCACAATTTTCTTGCTTTCTCTGGTTTTGCTTTTCTAATTTAATTTATAGTTTAGACATTGACAATTGATAATGATTTAACCTTTCTCATGTTTTATATAGTTCCTGTTGGTGATTTAGGACAGCTATTATAAAATCCCAAAAATACATTTGGACACCTCCGGAAAGTTTTGAGTGACTTTTACCTAGGTTTTCAATGGTCTAAGGATTTATATGGGTTCACACTCGGTGCTAATGAAGTAAAAGTTGACATTAATTTACCAAGAAAAAATTCTAGATTTGTCATCTGTTCTGCATCAATGCTGTGAGCTTTCTCAGCCTGAAAGATTGATGAATGAATTAGGGTTTACTAAATGAAGTTTTCTAGGGTTTCAATGGAGCAGATTAATTTGATATCTGATGCTTACAAAATCAAAGGATACAAGATTCTATGCTGCACAAGTATCTTAAAGCATCACATCCAAGGTCCCATGAGCATTACATATGGAAGCAAGGTTGCATTTAACAGTCCTGAAGAGAGCTAAAAGCATTTCAAATTTCTGTAGACTAGTTGTGGCATTGAATTACATAACTATATGTATTTCAGGATTTCTTGTAATTGTGAATGTAGAAGGACTCCCCTAAAATGGGAAATGAAACTGTGCAGGATGTGTAATAAGACCTTCAAATTGTAGACCCAATCTAAGCCCCAATAAATAAATAAATAAAAACCCTCTGCTGATAGCTGTGAATATAATTTTCTAAGTACCCATAATTTATAAAATTTAAGAAAACGTTATTAAAAACAAACAACCAGCATATTTAGCTAAATAAATATAAATTAGGACTCCAAGCTAATTCAACGAGGCTACAGAAGGTCCCTAGAGGCCCCACAGTAACTGAGAGCGTAATTTGTAGGTGTAAAATTGCCCTTATGCAGAAGTCCCTTTGTCCTGCAACAATTGGGTTCTGATCTTTTCTGCTTTTATCTGTACCTTCAAGTACTTTTGGCCTGAATATAATGTTGTGTTCTACAAGCTCAGAGAGCAATTTTCCAGTGCACTTGCTTGTCTTTAAATTACTCCAAGCTCCTCTCTTTGCAAGTTTTAATGTGTATTATGCTCTTTTGCGCTTTCTGGGTTTTGTTGACTTGTAATTCAGTGCACTTTTGCGCCTGGCTTTTGTTGACTTTGTGCTTTAAGATGCTAAGGGTTCCTTCTGTCCCTCCCTCCCTCCTTGATGGTCCATAATATTCAGTGATAATTGAGGAAAGAAGTGAGTTTTTAAACCTCAACTATAATGGAAGAACTGAACCAATTATTTATTCTCGTAGGGCATTGAGAAGAAGACTACCAAGTTGCAAGGAAGTGAGAAGGCTGTGGTTGCGCGCCATGAAGCTGGTCATGCAGTAGTAGGTACTGCCGTTGCTAACATTCTTACTGGACAGCCACGTGTAGAGGTAAACATCGGAGGAACTCTTTTACTGATTGGTCTTATTTTTTGTTATCTTAGTATTATTTGCAAATAGTGAAGCTGCATCCATGGGAGTTATGATATCCTTAATGGCATGTCCTTACCTGTGTCATATTGTTGTGCCCGAGGAGATTATTTGAGCCAACTGCATTTTCTATTTTCTCATGTCTGATTTTTTTAATTGGGTCGGAATATAGGCATTAGGCTATCATGGAGAAATTTTTTATGTAAGGAATCCTGGGAAGTCCAAATCCTATTAGTTGATTGTACTCTTGATTCTAATGGAAACAATCAAAGGACAATTTTTTTTTCCTGGTCTTCTAGGAAGATAAATAGATGGAGATAAATACTAGTAACAGTGGTAATAGTGGAAATAGTAGTTATTGTTTTTTTTTTGAACTACTGCCTGGATTTTTTGTGGCATACAAGCTTACAAAAAGTCAGAAATGGGACGTCATATTTTGACCACTTTTCATTACAGTAACAATTACTTTTGTCCATGTCATTAGAAGTTGAGCATACTACCAAGGTCAGGAGGGGCTTTGGGCTTTACTTATACACCCCCAACAAACGAGGATAGATATTTGCTCTTCATTGATGAGTTGCGTGGCCGCTTGGTTACTCTTCTTGGAGGACGGGCAGCTGAAGAAGTTGTTTATTCAGGTCGTGTCTCGACAGGTGCTCTGGATGATATTCGGCGGGCTACTGATATGGCATACAAGGCAGTAGCTGAATATGGCCTTAATCAGACAATAGGTCCTGTGTCTCTAGCAACACTTTCTGGAGGAGGGATGGATGAGTCTGGAGCTGCTCCATGGGGAAGGGATCAGGTGTTTTGTTATTTAAAGTTCATTTCCTTCTTCTCATGTAGTACGCTTAAAAACTGACTTGAAATTGAATACCACAGGGGCATCTTGTTGATCTTGTTCAAGGAGAGGTGAAAGCACTGCTGCGATCTGCCCTTGATGTAGCACTTTCCGTTGTGCGTGCTAATCCAACTGTCTTGGAGGGGCTTGGTGCTCATCTGGAAGGTAGTGTTTACTGCTAGCTAAATTGAGTACCATAGTGTGCCTGCATTATGCTCTTGATGCACTGCCAAGTTGTATCCATTAATTGCTGCACATCCTTTTTAGTAGTACTTTTAATATGCCAATACCATAAACTATGGTTAATTTTGAAACTCTAAAACTGCTTAACTGGTATGGCATGTGCTTTTCCTTGATGCATTACATGAGATAGCATAGTTTGTATTTGTTGTCTGATACTGGCCAGGGTGCCCCAGCCCACAAAAGTTGATGAAAATTATGCTGGGTTGTCCTGCATCAGATTAGATTCTGGATTTGGATATTGAATTGTTTATGATGCTGAATTGCTGTAAATTCGGTGTTCGTTATTTTCGAAGAGTTACTACCTGTAATTTCCATAATGTTCTGAAGTTTGCTCTTCTTTATCAACTGGTTCAGAGAAAGAGAAAGTGGAAGGTGAAGAGCTGCAACAGTGGTTGAAGTTGGTAGTGGCTCCAAAAGATCTTGTGCTCTTTGTTGAAGGCAAGCAAGTCTCACTTCTCCCGCTGCAAGCTGGCTCCTAATGAACAATGATTGTGCTCTCAGCCCTCCACTGTTAAGAGAAAGATGGAGCTAGCCTTAGTGCGATGTGCCTCGAGCCATTATAATATTGATGAACTTAATGGTATGAACTTTGAACTTGCTCCTACAGCATTGTATATTTCAATGAGGGAAATTTTTGGCGTCATTTTAACATTACTGGCTGGGGGAAAGCTGAAGATCTGCTGCTGCTGCCGGAGATTAGTCAAGTCTCTAGTCATGTTGACATTGCCCCCTTCGTACACTACTGGTTGGTTTTGAAATCTGTTGTGTCCGTTGGCAATTATTTCAGCTGGTCCAGTTTCAGGTCATTGGCAATTGTAACCATTTTTTTCTCTCTGTATACGTGATTGTTCTGTGAAAATATACGCAATAATATGTTACAGAAGCTGTTTTTGTGATAAACTTTGTGCATATTTTCTCACAGGAATAATACAAATCATATCTATTTTATAGATTCTTGCATCTGAGAGTTGGGCGGAACGTCATTGTTTCGGGCCACGAGATGCAAGGATGGAACTCGTATTGAAGTGATAACAACTGGTCAATTTCTATTAATGCTATGTTTGCTGTTTCAACTTTCACCACAGGAGATGGGGTTTTCAGCTTTTTGATGTAAAGAAGAATAAGTATAAGTAGGAAATTGGCACCAATCGAGAAAAAAATAAAATTGTTTGTGTTTTGTGCTCAAAAAGAAAAAAATAATAATAAAAGAAACGAAACAATATCGAGAGTTTCTTTAAAATAGGTTATTTCTAAACTTATTTACCAGAATAATACAATTTGCTTCGCATCAACACGGAATCCTACGACATGAAAACTAGGTTTAGAAATACCCTATATAAAAAAGAAAAAACAAACAAACCAGATTTTGTAGTACCTATTTTAAGATAAATAATGGATACGTGGATATTTCAAGTTGTAACCAACTTGGTTGATTGAATCCAACAACTTGATCTAGACTCCTAAACAATAGAGTAACAAATATATATAATTTTACACGGGATAACTATGTGATAAGTATACTAATTTTTAATTTTTTCTTACTCGAATGCATGAATTTTAATTTTTTTTGTTTGAGTATATCAATTTTTTTAAAGTTATCAATCAAGTACTTCGTCAATTTTTCATTAACTAATGATGTGTCTAATACCCTTAAAATACCAAATTGTAATTTTATTTTTTTTCTCAATCGATAACATAAACTTTACATTTTTTTGTTTGCATACATCAACTTTTTTAAAATTATCAATCAAGTATTTTCATCACTTTCTTTGCTAATTAATAACATATTCGAATATGAAATTATAATTTTATCTTTTTTCGTTAACCGATGATATGTCCGATACCTTTAAAATACCAAATTGTAATTTTATCTTTTTTTCTCAATCGAGTACATAAATTTTAATATTTTTTTGTTTGAATACGTCAACTTTTTTACAATTATCAATCAAGTATTTTCATCACTTTTTTTAATTAATAACGTATTCGAATATGAAATTATAATTTTATCATTTTTTTGTTGAAAGAAATTTTATCCTCAAATTATTTTACTATTTTATAATTTGACAAAATAATTTTAAAAAATTATATCTAAAATTATACATGGTTGAACATAATAGTTTTGAATAAATTGAGGTATTCAAACAAAAAAAATAAAATAAAGTTTATATATTTAATTGAGAAAATATTGAAAGTTGATATAGTTATGTTATAATTATCCCAATTGTACACTGATATATATATATATATATATATATATATATATATATATATATATATATATAAGCTCTAAAAATTTGAAAAGTGTATTAATAGGTAATTCCTAATTCTAATAGCCGCTCAAAAAAACAAGACATTTGTTCAATTGGTTTATATAAAAACACAAAGTTTGTAATTCAAGTACTAGAAAAAATCCTGACCATGTAGCTACGTATTTGAATCTTATTTATATGTCATTGAATCTATTTTATTTTATATCACTATTCTAAATCAAATAAAAACTAGAAACAACACAAAGGGAAAGTAAGGCAGATCTGAAGGGTAGCTTTGCCTTACCCAAAAATGAAATGAAATAAAATAAACTAAGAAGTACCTCGATAAATTTTAATTGCAATGCTGCCCTGGCAGTGCCAGTTCCAGATGATCCAAATCCAAGCTGCTCTCACCCTGTTATTAGTAAATACCGGGGACGGGCACGTGAGTTGTGACCTTTTCATTCATCGGTCCTTACTCCTTGCCCCTTCCTTCCCTATCTACCTAACTAAATCCCTATAAAAACAAAACACCAAAGCAGAGTGCCGGCTTTCCTATCTCTCTCCTCTCTGTCTCTCTCTCTCTCTCTCTCTTGCATCCTCACGCTCATCGATTCCAGAGATAAGCCTGCCTCGTTACTCAGCTACACGCGCTGCTCATTTCCCATCAGGTTCAGCTTCTCTTCTATTTCTCTCAATTCCTGATTTGGATTTCGTTTTCTCTTCTAAATTTGTAATCACTTTTGTTCTAATTAGAAATGGCGTCTGTCCAAGCTACTGCTATTTTGACATCGGCTGTAACCAAGAATGGCAATACCAGTGCCTTCTTACCACCTGGATTTTCAAGTGCATCATCAGCGGCATGTAAGAAGGAGTTTTGCGCTCGCTCTCTGGCTTCGGGAGTCAGAGCTACTTTAACATTTGATCCACCAAAAACTAAGCAAAAGAAGCACACTGCCGATCCTTCTTCTCCTGATTTTCTTCCTCTTCCCTCTTTTGAAGAGTGTTTTCCAAAGAGCACCAAGGAATACAGGTTTCTTCTCTCGCTTTTTCATTAATTTTTTCACTTTCCTTTTTTATCCCTTTCGTTAATTCGATCCGCACGTACACGTGATGTCGTCTGTTACTTAGATGACGTGTCGCTCATAGTGAGAACAGACTTTGTAATGTTGGTCCATTTATTTGATTTGATTTGATTTGCAGGGAAGTTAAACATGAAGAATCTGGACATTTACTCAAAGTTCCATTCCGGCGAGTCCACTTGTCCGGCGATGAACCAAGTTTTGATAACTACGATACCAGTGGTCCTCAAAACATCAGTCCCCGCGTAGGTAGGCAGCTTGTCTTCTCCATCTTTCAAGTTTCGGTTCATTATCTTCCTTAGCTTTACTAGTAATTTACTGACTTCTGTTAGTACTTAACAAATCACGCATTAGAATTTTGACAGTGGACGAATCCAGAATCTGCTGTTTGGGAGGGCCCAACTGTAACAGTATTGTTCTGGGGGGCATTACATTAGAACTTATTTCACAAAGTTTCAAAGAACAAGGGAGATTTTGAAAGTCTTTAAAACTTCGGGGTTTAAATTCGTCCGAATTAGAGTGGTTTTTATACTATTGCTTGGGTTAAGTTGTTTTCTACTCTTAGCTTTCTTCTTCTTGAGTTAAGTCTCTTGTCATGCTAGTTTTTCTGGGCTAAGAAAGATAGAATTGAATCATCAACTTAATTGGCTAGTGTAAATGAATGTTTTTCTGTCTTCAGGACTTCCTAAGCTGCGTAGAGAATGGGTTGACCAGCGAGAGAAGCTAGGTACACCAAGGTATACTCAGATGTACTATGCGAAGCAGGGAATTGTAACCGAGGAAATGCTGTATTGTGCTGTTCGTGAAAACCTTGACCCAGAGTTTGTGAGGTCAGAGGTTGCTCGTGGGAGAGCCATTATCCCTTCCAACAAGAAGCACTTGGAGCTGGAACCGATGATTGTTGGAAGAAATTTTTTGGTTAAAGTTAATGCAAATATTGGAAATTCTGCTGTTGTGAGCTCTATCGAGGAAGAAGTTTATAAGGTTCAATGGGCAACTATGTGGGGTGCCGATACTGTTATGGATCTTTCCACCGGTCGCCACATTCATGAGACTCGTGAATGGATCTTACGTAACTCTGCCGTGCCTGTTGGTACTGTGCCTATCTATCAAGCACTTGAAAAAGTAGATGGAATTGCTGAGAATCTTAGCTGGGAAGTCTTTAGAGACACCCTGATCGAACAAGCCGAGCAGGGTGTAGATTACTTCACAATTCATGCTGGGATTCTGCTGCGCTACATCCCTTTAACTGCAAAGCGTATGACAGGAATTGTTTCCCGTGGAGGATCAATCCATGCGAAGTGGTGCTTAGCTTATCACAAGGAGAACTTTGCCTATGAGCATTGGGATGACATCCTTGATATATGTAATCAATATGATGTGGCCCTGTCAATTGGTGATGGGCTGAGGCCTGGGTCCATATATGATGCCAACGACACTGCCCAATTTGCAGAGCTTTTAACTCAAGGGGAACTGACTCGCCGAGCATGGGAAAAGGACGTACAGGTAATCACTCAGCAGTATATATTAGAACCTCTAAGCCTTATGCATTGACTACGAAACTAAGGTAAAAATTTTGGAAGTGTAAGCTTCATGTCTGCTGGTTAAATTGTAACCTATTTGGTTACTGGATCTTTTTGTATGCATGGTGTAAATATGAGTGGCTTTCATGCACTAAGTAATGCCATTAAACAAATTTCTGAACTATCAAACCAGAGGTGACAGAGAGATAGATGCCCAAGAATTTTTTTTTTTTTTTTCCAACCATGCAACTTTGTGAAAGATGAAGTGCTTGCTTTTGATTTAACTTGTGACCTACATTTTCATCTGCTTTTCCAGGTTATGAATGAAGGGCCTGGACATGTCCCAATTCACAAGATTCCTGAGAACATGCAGAAACAGCTGGAGTGGTGCAATGAAGCTCCTTTCTACACTCTTGGGCCCCTAACAACTGACATTGCTCCTGGATATGACCACATCACCTCTGCAATTGGTGCTGCCAATATTGGGGCTCTTGGCACTGCACTTCTCTGTTATGTCACACCAAAGGAGCACCTTGGACTGCCAAATAGAGATGATGTGAAGACTGGGGTTATGGCATACAAGATATCTGCCCATGCTGCTGATTTGGCAAAAGGCCACCCTCATGCTCAAGCCTGGGATGATGCTTTAAGCAAGGCAAGATTTGAGTTCCGATGGATGGACCAGTTTGCTCTATCATTGGACCCCGTGACTGCCATGTCCTTCCATGATGAAACCCTCCCATCAGAAGGTGCAAAAGTGGCACATTTTTGCTCCATGTGCGGGCCTAAGTTCTGCTCTATGAAGATAACAGAGGATGTTCGAAAGTATGCAGAGGAGCATGGTTATGGTGCAGAGGAAGCTGTGCAGCGTGGAATGGATGCCATGAGTGCTGAATTCCTGGCTGCTAGGAAAACCATAAGTGGAGAACAACACGGAGAAGTTGGTGGAGAAATTTACCTGCCAGCAAATTACATCAGTTCCTCTGAGAGGTGAAGGTACGTTTATGTACAAATGATGAAAGATGCATGAAAGTACAGGTAAAAAATTGCAAGTCTTAAATGTGAAATATACTATACAAAATGCTTCTTATTAATACTTGAACATAACCTCTATCCATGGGGAAATGGCTCCCCTCAGGCAATTGCTAGCAACGAATGCTGAAAATGTGGCCAAC